GGGCGGCGGGCCCCGGATCCTTTCCAGCGCAAGCCGCAGCAGGGGCTGGGTGAAGCGGTGCTCCATGGCGTGGCAGAGGTAGAGGCCAGCGTCGCTGGGCTGCACGCTGCGCAGCAGAAGGCCCCGCTCTGTCCGCACCACCCGCTCATCCAGCTGCACCTGCAGGCACCGAGGGGTTCGGGGTGGGTGGCGGGAAGCAGGGCAGCACGGCGCAGCACAGCCCTCAGGGGTGGCCGTGACACTGGGCCTGTGCTGGCAAAGCCCTACCTCGCTCTTGGGGGCATCGCTGGCCCGCTGGTATGTCCAGAGCACGCGGGCCCGCAGGGACTTAGGCACGCACTCCAGGAAGGCGCTGCTGCCCTCCACACCATAGAGCTTCCTCTGGGGCACACTGCCCGGCTGCGGGTCTGCAGGGAGACGGCCAGGCTGTCAGCACTGAGCGCCAGCTGCCTGCTGGCACAGCAGGGCAGCACCTTGCGCCAAGGCCCTAACTCACCTTCGGAGCAGAGCACGTTGGGGTCCCCATTGCGAACGTCCTGCCGGCGGAAACGCCTGGGGAGATGGGGGTGGGCAGTGAGGACTGGGCAGCAGCAGGATGGGGGGCCCCTCACCCAGGCATCTGGGCACAGTGGCAGCTGCCTCCAGGGGAGGACGATCCCATCTACCTTTTGGTGTTGGGCACGTAGCGGGTACAGGAGCTGCCGTCCCAGGCGCAGTAGGGGTCCCGGGCCAGGCAGCACTCAGCACAGGCTTTGCCGTAGATGCCGCAGCGGTGCAGGGGCAGCTGGGCCACAGCCGTGGCCGACCCAGCATAGAGCTGTTGCTGCAAGCAGAAAGGGAGCTTGAGCATCCCCACAGAAGGGCGACAACTCGGCCACAGACACAGGCAAACATGGGGACAGGTCCCATGGAGCTGGCGGCCATGGAGCTCTGCTCCCCCCTTACCCGCTTGGAGGAGATCTGCAGGCTGGTGATGGGGGACAAGTCCTGCCAAAAGAGCAAGGGCACACATCAGGGCAAGCACGCTCAGCATGGGGCGCAGCCTTGCCCAGGGGAATGCTGGGGAAGGGGGTGCAGAGAGAACCAAGTTGCTCAGGTCCCTCTCCAGGGCTCCCTAGTGGCACTCACGGAGCTCATCAAAGTGCATGCCCGCACCATTAGTGCCTTCTTGAGGTCCCTCTCACCTGGAAGACCTGAAGCTCCTCCAGCACCAGTTCCTCCATGCTCTGCCAACTCTCTTTGGGCACTGAGACCACCTTCAGCACTGTTCCCACATCTGCAGGGAGGAACAGAGTGAGGCGGAGGGTCTGGGGGGTGCAGCTCCTGCGCTCAGCCCAGTCCCAAACCTCAGACCCCTAGCCAAGGAGGCACCATGCACCCGTGCCGATGAAGAGGACGTCGTAGTGGCCATCAGCAGCTGTGACGCGGTCCACAGCGATGCGGGTGAAAGTGTGAGGTGTGTTGGTCTGCAGGAAGAGGGGGCGGTGGCCGTGGGGTAGCACTGGGTTGTACATGAGCGGGTGGTGCCGGGCAAACTGGATCACCTCATCCGGGAAGTCCTTGGTGGAGCTGAAGGTGCCGAAGGTTTTGCTGGGGCACTGCAGGGAGACAGAGCCAGGTGAGCAGGTGGCACTTGCTCCCGGTGCTCCCCGCCAGCTACCTGGGCACCTTTTGGACTCCCGGCTTGCCCCATGCCACGTACCATGCCCGGGCGGGGGTACGGCACACGGGCCTGGTACGACACCCACTGGTAGTTGGGGCCCTCCTTGTGTGCAAAGGGCCCCAGGAAAGCCCGCCGGATGTCAGCCATAGTATAGACACAGATGGCCGAGCCCTGGAAAACGGAGCTGATGAGAGAGACACATGGTGATGTGAGGCAGAGGGCACCATGGGTGTGTGCCAGCTTTGCCATGCAGGGTGCACTTTACCTGGAGGTGGAGAAGATGGCATAGACCAGGGGGTTGCGCTTGTCCCTTGTTTGCAATAGAAAGACGTCACCTGTGAGCACACAGGGGCAGGATCAGCACTGCTTCTGCGTGCCACCGCTACCTGGCGCCCTCATGCACCCTGGCTACCCGGGGGCACACTGCACCCTCTGCCCTCGCAGGGCTCCCTGGTGACACTCACGGAGCTCATCAAAGTGGGTGTCCGCACCATCGGTGCCCGGCACAGAGCACACCAGCCGTGCCTTCAGGAACGTCGTCCACTTGTTCACCAGGCTCCGCTGCCCACCCATGTCGTTCTGCCAAGCAAGACAGGGCACCCAAAGTGAGCACCCGTGGTCCCACATGCTCCAACGAGCCAATGTACCAGGCTCCCTGCCACAGGACCGGGGCCCCAAGCGCGCTCACCCTGCAGATCTGGCCAATGCGGGCAAAGCTGGTCTTGCCCAGCCCCTGCGGCCTTTCCACTGCCGTCTCGTGAAAGAAGAAGTAGATCTTGTCATCATCAGGATTCTCGCTCTCAGGCACCCAAAACACATCCACAAACTTGGGCTCTGGGGAGCAAAGAGCAGCGTGTCAGAGGTACCATGGCTAGTGCCCATGCTGTGCAGAGGGTTGGGCACCTGCAGGCATGGGGAACACCACCACAGAGACACCCTCCAGGAAGACTGGCCAGGTCCCCAGGGGAAAGGGACCCGCCCCATGCCCAGTTGTGTGGCACATGTGTGGCAAGGATGGGACCCCACCGGCCCTCCCCTTCCAGTGAACACACAGTGTCCACAGGGGGGCAGCAGGCACCCACCCACAGAGTAACCTGTGCTGAGCTCCTGCCCACCTCAGGGCCCGGCGGGTAGGACAGGCACCCAGCACTCAGTCTCCTTGCCTGGGTGACTCTGAAGGGCTGTCAGTGCCATGCCACAGGCCACAACCAGGACACCCATGCCCCATTCCGTCCCACTCCCTTTGGGCTGCGGGCACTAACCGTTGAGCCAGCGGGAGTCGTGCTGCTCGGTGCGGATAGATGGGCGCGAGCCCATGCTGCGGAAGATGGTAAAGTCACGACCCATCAGATCGGTGGCCACCCCAGAATAGAGCTCCTCACCTGATGGGCACCGAGGGGAAGTGTTAAACAGGACTCTGTGCCCACTGGGGTCCCAGCTCAGCACCCCAGTGCTTGGCTGACCCCTCAGGCTGGGGCTTGGCCCCCTCTTACCCACAAGAACGGAGGCGGCCGCGGGCTGGGGGTCGTAGGGGCTCTTCCCTTTGCCGTCCTCGGAGTGCTGCAGGTCCAGTTTGAAGACGGAGTCCTGGTGGAACGGATGGGTCAGAGGCAGGTGGGCAGGCAGGAGACTGGCATGACCCCACCTCATGCCAGGCTCCAGCTCACCTCCGTGTGCTGGCCGACCTCCACAAAGGCACAGGTGGGGTGGAAGGCACCGGTGCCGCAGGCATACAGGTGGGTCCGGTTGTAGTAGTGCAGGATCTTCACGAAGTTCATGCACTCGGTCTGGGGGAGAAGGTAGGCAGGGTGGGCGGCGCTGAGCAGGCGTCCACACCAGGCACCCACTCCTGCAGCTCCACAGCGCCCAGGGCTCTGCCCGAGCCTCAGCTCGCCTGGCTGCTCCAAGATGCAGAAGTCTGGCAAGCTGCTCCTCAGCCCGCCGTACGCAACCTCTCAGACACTCACGTTGATGTCTTTGCCAGCCCAGTTGCACTCCTCCCTCCACTCCACGGGCGCCGGCCAGTAGATCTGTGGGACAGAGAGTGGGAGAGAACACTTACAACACCCAGCCCCGGGAACGTGCAGTGCCCTCCCCACCCCCTCACTCTGGCTGAGACCCACCAAACTCATGTCATGTCTCAGAAGAGAGGGAGGCCGCCTCCACGCCGTGCTCTGAGGACAGTCTGGTCTTGCTGCAGTGGTGCCCAGCAGAGCAGGGTCCCACGTTTTGGAGCTGTCCCTGCCCATGCTGCCCAGTAACGCAGCGGCTCTGCGCCCAGCCCTGTTACCTTTCTGTCCTGCTGGCTGATGTTGTCGAGGCTCAGCGACACCAGGTGGTTCTTGGCCCCCACGAAGAGACGGCCGCGCTCCTCATCCAGCAGCAGCACGTTGTAGCAGCACGAGCGCTCCAGCTGGTAAAGGCGCAGCCCGTGGCGGG